GCCACCACATGAACCAAGTATGATAAATAAACAAATAAAAATCCTTTGGGGTCAATAAGACCCCATATTGCTATATTTGAGTTCTTAGGCAAGTATCGAGAGAAGTCATGCTTCTCACAAAACTTGTCTGTCTGAGCGCTCTGATTGGCTGGCTTACTTTAATAGCTGTCTCAGTGTGAGAAAGTATATATAAGGGTTTATCTGCTATCAGAGCTCATCCTTTATTGCAGTGCATTTCTTTTTGGGGGGTTTTGGACCTTTTTTATTTTAATTAGTGGCATCGGATATTGTAGATTTTTATTTGGCCTTTTTTGCGTCTGAAGAACAGAAGAATTAGAAGAAAGGCCAGTTTGTCACGATTATTAGGGTGAGGAGGGGGAAGAGGGGCATACTACTATTTTACTACTACCCTTTTTATTTTAATTAGTGGCATCGGATGTTGTAGATTTTTTTTTGGCCTTTTTTGCGTCTGAAGAACAGAAGAATTAGAAGAAAGGCCAGTTTGTCACGATTATTAGGGTGAGGAGGGGGAAGGGGGGCATACTACTATTTTAAAGGAGAACAATACATGTCCACCACACCCATTTTATAAATAATTAGGATCCCCACCAAGCACCCATGAGGGGAGTGGACAAGAGATCCTCCCATTTATCATTAATATAAGGGCAACCATCCGTCACCCGTGTATGGGGGCCACGGGAGGGGTTGGTATGTCACCCTCCTTTATTATTAATATCAGGATCTCCACCCATGTGTGGGAGCCGGGGGGCATTAGGTCATTACTGAATAATGTTTAAAGTAGTCCCCACCCGATGCCTAGTCGCTAGGTTTTCATGTTTAGTAGACATGCCTCAACTTGCCAGATGTTCATAACCTCCATTATAGCAATTATTGCCAATGTGGTCGGAATTTGGTAATTTTCACTGGATTTTCTCAATTTGGACAAAATTGGTTGTTTAGTGAATAACCACGTATGTAGTTTTAAGGGGATCTGCCATTTCCCAGGCTTTTGAATATTATGTTTATTTATACATGACATCACGCTCTGTGGCCAAAAGTCTAGTACAGCATGTGGAGCAGGCCAAGTGGCAGCTCAGTACAGACACCAGGCAGCAAGGTATATGTGTATCATTGAGTATGTGTGTCAGTAAGTGTGTATTTATGTTAGAGAGAGTTATGCCTGTTATTTTTTTGGTCATTTATTGTCAAAATTAGCAGAGTTCTATTAGCACAGCTTCATCATATGGAAGTCAGCTGGGCAGACATATTAAGAAACGTAATCAAGAACCCTTACTGAGTGGTTTGTTTAAGCATCTCAAAATGGCTGCATAGCAAGTGAGGTAGAGGAAGTGAGGCAAGACAAGACATTAACATACTCCCTCTCCAGCACTATTGAGACTATAGAGGACTAACAATCAGGGCCAGATTAAGAGCCCAGTGGGCCTGGTGCTGACAATTATGACGGGCCTAATTACAGAATCATATCGACTAAAAAACAGTAAAACACTCCCAAGCGTCATGTATCTGATGGAGATGGTGCTGGAGAGAAAGAAAACAGCAGCTATAAGAAAACACATACCCTAGGTTAATCTCTCTCTCTAATTTATGTTTTCATCTTTCAAGTAAATCCATAACCCCTAACAGCAGTGTCCAGTCAAGCATGAAGTCAATGGGCATGGTAAAAGGGTGTGCCACTGACACAAATCACGTAACCTGCCAAAAGGGGTGAACATGCCCAAAAAGAGGACATATCTGCCCAAAGAATTAGAAGGCCAGCCTGGCATGAATGCATGTCAGGCTGCCTGCCAATCATGCAGCTGGCCAACTAAGGGCATACTATGCAGACAGCACCCTGAGCTTGGCATAAATGCATCTAATGATGCGCTCACTCAGCGCTTTCTAAGGACTGTTCCCTAGCACTCGCTGGTCCACTTGTCTCCTTACCTTCTTATTAGCAGGCAGAAGCTCCTGGTATATAGTCTGTGAGGAGAAAAGTATGTAGTGAGTGTAGAAGAAAGGGAACATGCCACAGTGTTAGAAAGACCAAAGTCAGCATTACCTTAAAGGATCACTAGAGGGTCAGGAACACAAACATGAATTCATGACCCTATAGTGTTAACACCACCATCTAGCCCCCCTGGGCCCCTCATGCCTCCATAAATATAGCAAAATCTTACTATATTCAAGCCTGAAGCTGTAACTCTGCATGCTGTTAGACTCATAAAAACAAGCAGTCTGCTGACATCATTAGAAGTGGTGGCCTGATCCAATCACAGTGCTTCCCCATAGGATTGGCTGAGACTGACAAAGAGGCAGATCAGGGGCAGAGCCAGCATGATTCAAACACAGCCCTGGCCAATCAGCATCTCCTTATAGAGATGAATTGAATTCATGAATCTCTATGAGGAAAGTTCAGTGTCTGCATGCAGAGGGAGGAGACACTGAATGTTTGGATGCATTTTAGGCAGCCATGACCCAGGAAGGATCTCTAACAGCCATCTAAGGAGTGGCCAGTGAAGTTATCACTAGGCTGTAATGTAAAGACTGCATTTTCTCTGAAAAGACAGTGTTTACAGCAAAAAGCCTGATGGTAATGATTCTACTCACCAGAACAAATTCAATAAGCTGTAGTTGTTCTGGTGACTATAGTGTCCCTTTAACTATACTCATTGTCAGCCAGTCCACACAAGTTTTGTTCCCATACATCCCTCTTAAGTTTCCATACTTAAGTAAGAGTATGTGAAAAGTAGTTAGGGTTGCCACCTTTCTTGGAAAAACATACCGGACTTACTAATTTGCATAATTAAATATGTATGGGTGACATCACATGATGTAAATCACAAGGAGTGACATAAGAGAAAATTTTATAAAATCACCAAAAAACTACTTAGTTTGATTCTGCTGTATAGATGGATTCCTCCCAGTGCCCTCATGACTCAGTGCCCCCATGTGTCGATTACTCCAAGTCTCAGTGTTCCTATGTATCAGTGTCTCAGTGCCCCATGTCTCCCAGTGTCCCCTAGTGTCGTGTCCCCAGGTATCCCAGTGATCCTATGTATCACAGTGTCTCAATGCCCCATGTCTCCCTGTGTCCCCATGTATCCCAGGGTCCCCATGTCACTAGGACACTAGGAAGGCGGGGAGACCTGGGGACACGGGGAGACCTAGGGACACGGAGACACCAGTGACACTGGGAAACTAGGGGACTCTGGCTGGGACACATGGGGACAATGGGAAAATAGGGGACACTTGAAGACATGGGGACACAGACACCAAGGACACAGACACTAGAGACGCTGGCTGGGGGACATGGGGACATTGAAACATGGGGGCACTGGGAGACATGGGGACACTGACACCAGGGCCACAGACACTAAGCTTGGAGACATGGGGACATTGTGACACTTGAGGCACTGAGAGACATGGAGGCACTAGGAGACATGGGGACAGTGAGACACTGGCAGACTGGGGGCACTAGGAGACTAGGGGTCACTGGGAGACTAGGGGGCACTGAGACACCAGGGACACTGGCTGGGAGACATGGGGACACTGTGTCCCCATGTGTCTGTGTCATAATGTCTCCCAATGTCCCTTAGTATCTCAGTGTATGTCTCCTTGCAGCCTTTCCCCCCATCCCTTACTTCCCTGAGCTGTAGGCTGTCTCTGCAGGGTGGGAGTTGCTGTCTGGACTCTCTGTAGCTGCACCCCTGCAGATCAGTGAGTATAGATAGGCAGGGAGGGATATGCTGGAACTTCCTATCCCTGCCTGTCTCCAGACACAGTGACCCCTACTGGCCAGTGCTGGTATTGCATAGTAATCTCTTGTTTATACTGAGAAAAATACCAGAATTTGTATTGCCAGTATCACTGCAATATTGGAACCAGCAAGGCAGCCTCAAATACTGGCTGTGCCAATAAAATAAAAGCCAGGTGAGTAGTGTGTGAAAATTTTTTTTTTTTTTTTTTTTAATCAATGGGCCTATTCCATGGGCCTGGGCCTGGAGCTGCAGCTCCATCAGCCCCTATGTTAATCCGGCCCTGCTAACAATTAATTGTTACCAACATCAGTAAGTTCTCCAACAATGTTAGAGTAAGCAGTAAATTAAATTTAAAAAAAATAAAACAAACAAGATATAGGTGATTTTTTCAATGTTTTATTAAACTGAGTATTTGACAGAGAAGTGATACTGACAAACCAGAGCAAACCTCACTGGCATTGTATTTCATTTATAGCGTAGGTTTTTCTTTGTTTCCCTCATTTTAAGCAATGTCCCTGACTTTGTCTGTATCAGATCTAAATCATCATCACACTTCTGAATAAAACACGAAGATTACAAAGAATGTAAATGTGTTAGTAACATATTCCATTGCTGTATTTTTTATGCATTGGTTATCTCATTCACAGGCAATATATCAGAACAGCAAGTCTCTTCAATGTTTTTTTTTTTCCAATCACATTCTTTATGGTGAGATTTGATAAAAAATTCTTTCCAGGCTACATAACAACAAGTGACATTTCTGGTTTAATAAAATATATATTTTATAAGTCATCTATATAACTGCAGGTTAAAGTTATTTTTTTTATTTTTTATAATTCTTTATTTTTTCAATGACAGAGAAAAAAGAAATGCACTATGCAGTCATATGGCTTATGCAGAAGCCGCATTGTGAATACAATAAAGATCAAATGTTGCCAATAGGAGGTACATGCGGTATTCATAACATTTCATGTACATCAATTGCCTTTGGGATCTGGCTGTCATTGGTTTTGCCAGAATTATACACAGATAAACATAAATAAAAGAACAACCCAACGGTAATGTAAGAACTTGGATAACGTATCGTTTCTTTGTGTTTAAGTTACCATCTGGTTGTGATGGTTTTGATGGGTTCAATATGTTGAACTTATAGGCCGGAGCACCGGTGGGCTCGGCCTAATGATGGGGGGGTAGGGGAGGAGGATGGTTGGAGTGGATGGGGGGAGGGGGATGGAGGGGGTCCTGAACGATTCACGAGGCTTTCTAGTCATCGTTGTAGGTTTCCCACGGTTCCCACGTCTTAGTGAATGATTTCATGGAGCCAGTCATCTAGGGGTTTGGCTAGCAGGAATGTCCATGGAGTTAGGCCTACTGGTCTGTGTAGGATTTGTGTTATTAGTTTTTGGATGTCTTTCCAGAAGAGTTTAATGGTGGGGCAGAACCACCACATATGGGTGTATGTCCCTTTTTCTCCGCAGTTACGCCAACAGAGATCTGTAGGTGTTTTTTTCATGTGGTATAATTGGACCGGGGTAATGTACCATCTAAGCATTGTTTTATATGCCTGTTCCTGCATCGTGACACAGATGGAGGTTTTTGTGTTAGCTTCCCATATGTCCTGCCAGTCGATTCCCTCTAGAGTTTTGCCTAAGTCTGACTCCCATTTGTCAATGTATTGGAGTTGACCCCATTCCCGTGTGGTGGAACAGAGGTGGGAGTATAGTGTGGTGATCATGCCTTTTTGATACCGTTCCGCTAAGCAGGTGCGTTCAAAAAAAGTGGGACTGGTTGTAGCTGCGGTTTTCACCGTCGCTAGGGCCGCGTAATTTTTTAGTTGTAGGTATCTAAAGAAGTCGGCTGGCTTCAACGTTGTTCTGGACTATAGGTCTGGAAAGGGAATTATCTTATCGTCTGCATAGAGTTGGTATACTCTCTGGAGGCCAGCTTGCTCTAAGCCTTTAAAGTCCCATGGTCTCATGCCTGGTGTGAAGGCTCTATTACGATATATGGGGATGAGTGGTGATGTCGTGGTAGTCAGCCCGTATTTAAGAGCGTATTTGTCCCATAATTGAATTGAGTTGGTGATGGCCGGGCACGCCGTTCGCGGGAGCGCCCTGTGTTCTTTAGGGGTCCAGATGTAAAATTGCGGGAGATCGGATCTCATGAGCAGTGATTCCAGATCTACCCACCTTCTAGTCTCTGGGGGGGTATGCCATAGGGCTATTTGTGCCATCTGGGCAGCCAGATAGTAAAAGTGGAGGTGGGGTAGGCCCAGGCCTCCTCTCGTTTTGGGGCGATAAAGTATGTTGCGGGCTACTCTGTGTCTCTTGTTCTGCCAGATAAATCTATCTATTGCCCGCTGTAGTGGGATGAGGTTGTGTTTCGTGATGGGGATGGGTATGGCCTGGAATAGGAATAGAATGCGGGGTAAAACGTTCATCTTTATTGAGTGTATTCTCCCTATCCAGGATATGGGTTTGTTCGCCCAGGTCTCCATGTCCGAGATGAGTTTTTCTATCATGGGTATGTAGTTTAGTCTGTAAAGTGTGGTGGTGTCTGCTGGCAGTTTGATGCCTAGATACGTAAGGAACGTTGGTGTAACGTTTATGTGGTGGTCTAGGGTGATGTTAGTTATGTCCGTTTGTGTGAGATTTATGGGGAGAGCACTGGATTTCTCCACATTTACCTTGTATCCCGAGACCTCCCCGTATGTGTTCAAAAGTGGGAGCAATGCTCGCAGAGTGGAGATGGGTTCGGTTAAGGTCAACATGATATCGTCCGCGTATCCTGATACCAGGAATTCCTGGTCGTCTATTTTGACTCCTTTAATTTGGGGGTGTTCCCTGATGGCTTGGAGAAGAGGCTCAAGAGTCAGTACGAAGAGTAGTGGGGAGAGGGGGCATCCCTGCCGGGTGCCGTTGGTTATGCTGAATGGTGGGCACGTCGTTCCAGTTATCTTAATTTGTGCTGAAACGTTTGTGTATAGTGCGCGTACAGCTGTAATATATGGGGGGGGGGGCATGTTTAGGTGTTCTAAGAGTGCAAAGATACAGGGCCACTTTACCCTGTCGAACGCTTTTTCTGCGTCTAGGGAGAATGCTAGTGATGGTGTTTTCGCGGCTGCTAGCATCCATAGTATGTCTATGTTTCGTCTCGTATTTTTGAATAACTGTCATCCAGGTATGAAGCCCACCTGGTCGGCGTGGACTGGGTGTGTTAGGTATGGGTTCAGTCTCCCCGCTAGTATTTTGGCAAAGATTTTGCTGTCATGGTTTATGAGGGATATTGGTCTGTATGCTTCTGGTTGAGTGTGGTCTTTGCCCGGTTTTGGAAGTAGTATGATGTTTGCCCATGTCATGTCGCTATCTGGTGGGGTTCCCGTCATCAGGTCTTGAACAAGGATTCCAAGTGTGGGATTAGTACTTCTCTAAAGGTTTTGTAGTAGCTGCCCTCAAAACCATCTGGGCCGGTGGCTTAATTGCTTTTGAGGGAGGATATGGCTGCGTTGATTTCATCTGTAGTAATCGGTGCTGATAATTCTGTTATGGCTGCGGTATGTAGTTTTGGTAGGTTTAGTCGGGTGAGAAAGTCTGTTATTTTCTGACTTGCTCCTGCGTTCGTCGTGTGGTCTTGCGTGGAGTGGTTATATAGCTTTGTGTAGAAGGATGTGAATGTTTGGGCTATTTCCGTCGGGGAGGTTTTTAATGCGCCGTCCGGGGCTCTGATTTTTGTGATATGGGTGTGTAGGGTCCTGGGTCGTAGTGTGCAGGCCAGTAGTGTATCCATTTTATTGGATTTGTCGTAGTATGTCCTTTTCGTCCATGTGAGTGCTCGGGCTGTATCGTCTATAAGTAGTTGTCTGATTGTGATGCGGGTGTTTTGGAGTTGTTGTAGTGTTTGAGGGTTGGGGTCGGTTTTATGGCGTTGCTCCGCTGTACGGAGGGTTTCTAGCTGTTGGGTAAGTTGCTGTGTTTTTTGTTTTTTTTTGTGGGTTGCTATTTTGATGAGGGAACCTCGGATCACTGCTTTGTGGGCTGCCCACACTGTGGTCATGGGGATGTCTGGTGTGGGGGGGGGATTGGGGGGGAGTGCTTTGTATATTGTGACTAAGTGAGCTATCTCTTCTTGGCCATGATGGTTCTCATGCTGGGGAGCGTGTTGGTGTTTTCTTTTTTTTTTTTTCTTTGCCCTGGACCTGGTGGGTGGGGGGTGAGGAGGGGCGGCTTGACATTCGGTCTATGTGGCAATCGGTCTATGTGGGTCTAAAACAGAACATTGCCTCATAAAAACAAGTTAGGCACATAACATAACATAATATTGTTGCATATCAGTAGCCAGTTCAGGAACAAGGCATTCCCCATGTTGTCCCTTTGCCCTACACCCCTAGTGTTTTGTGTCGCTCCCCAGCCCTACAATGATCCTTCAGACCGTTAGCCGGTCACCTACCCCTGCCCCCCCCCATGAGACTGTGGATGTGGTAGGTAGTAATGCGCGGCTTTTCCAATTGTTTCGCGTTCTCTGCATAGAGCAGGGGCCTAGTGTCCGGGTGTTAAGTGTGGTCTGGTTGTGGTTGTGTGTGTTTGGTCTGGATGGGATTGTTGGTGTGCAGGTGCGGGTGTGGTTGTTTGGTGAGTTGGTGTCTAATGTAATGAAGTGTGGCTACATTTGGGTATGTGTGCCCCAGTTAACTGCCCTGTCATGGTGTTTGAGTTTCATATATATATATATATACACATTACATTACACTTCTTGATGGTGGTAGGATTGCCCCTTGGTTTCGATAATTTGTAACCATATCATAAGTTCGTTTCGGGGTGTTCACTGCAGTCTATCGTCAGGTCTATCGGGCAAAGTGACATTGCATATGTAGGCCGGGTATTACGCATAATGAGAAGTTCTTGTGAGCTTAGTGGTTGCTAGTAGGTTGAGAGGCGTCTGTTGATCGGTTCGTGTGGCATCGGCGACTCTGGTGCTGAGGGCCATCATGGAGGGGAGTAATGTCCCCAGGCGTCACGTTTTCTCTCTGTCTGAGGATGTAGCTTCTCCGATGTGGCTCTGGTCTCCTGTTTGGAGGTTAGCTTTTGGTGGGCATAGGAGGTGGGGGGATGCTGGGTTGGGAGGGTGTTTGGGCCGCAGCTGCTGAGGTCGGTCGGCCGCTTGGTTACTCCCCGGCGGTGCACCATTCTCGTGGTAGTGATTGTAGGGCCGGTAGTGCTGTTGTTGGTAGCGTGAAGTTGTCTGGCAGGGTGATGTACAGTGCGCGGGAGAAGGGCACTGGGTCTGCGCCTGGGGTGAGCATGTGACATCTGCCGTTTCTGAAGACCATTAGTTTGAAGCGGTGTCCCCAGGCGTACTTGATTGCGTTGGTTCTGAGCAATTCAGTGACTGGCTTCCATTCTCTTCTGCGTTGGAGGGTGATGGGAGCCAAGTCTTGAAATAGGGTAATTTCTTTTTCATGGTATTTGATGGGGCTTTCTCTGGCCTTCCTTAGAACTGCTTCCTTCGTCTGGTAGTGGAGAAAACGGACTATTATGTCTCTGGGTCTCGTATTGTCATCTCTCCGGGCGCGCAGGGCCCTGTGTGCCCTTTTGATGTGCCATTGCCCATCTGGTATCTCCGGTAAGAGGGGCCACAGGAGTTTTAGGATCATAGTCGCAATTGGGCCTTCATCCTGTTGCTCTGGTAGGCCGCGCACGCGAATGTTATTGCGGCGCGACCTGTTTGCCAGGTCTTCGAGCGCTGCCTCTGATGCTTCTAGTCGGGAGGTGAGTGTGTTAATGTGATCAACCACAGTGTTGTGGGCCACCGTCGCGGTTTCTACGCGTTGTTCGAGTTCCGCGGTGCGCTCACCCAGCTTGTGGATTTCTGACATTACCGCCTTGGAACTTCTATCTATCTCCCTGGCTAGGTAGCTTTTCACCGCTGCCAGCTCTGTGAGTATGTGGGCAGTTTCGGATGTGGCTGTGCTGTATGGCTGGGGTGAGCTGGAGGTTGTTGGTGAGCCTGGGGCTCTGGAGCTAGTTCCGCCGCCATCTTGGATGTCTTGCTGAGGTGCGCAGGAGGCCTCAAAGAGTTTGGGTACCGTGGTAGCCGCATCTGTCTGCTTTTTGGCCGGTTTCCTCGGTAGGCGTTTGTCCATGGTTGCTGGGGAGTCGGGGTCTGCGGGTTTTTCGTGGGTAAATAGCTTTTGTGAGCATTAAGTATCAGGAGTCGGCGAGGAGCTCTAGGCTTGCACGTCCAGCCTGGTTCCCGGTCAAGCCACGCCCCCCAGGTTAATGTTATTTTTATTATGAAATAAACTATATCTTGCCCTTGAACTGTTACTCCTGGTAATTGTTTGAGATAAAAAAAAAAACAGCTCCATTTGACACCAGAGAAAAGAGAAAGCTGTTGCTTTCAACTACAGCTATTTTAGCATGTGAAAGAGAAGCTGATTAATGAAGGGAAAAGAGGAGTTTGTTTTGCTTTCAAACAAAGGTGATGGGAGAGCAGAGTAAAAATTAACAGTTCACTAAACACTGTTTTTTGTCTCAATAGACAAAATCCAGTGAAAATGTGTTTGACTGGAAAGGCGATTCTTATATATACTAGAGCCAGGGCTCGAGTCCTGCAGGAACGCATGGGAACGGCGTTCCTGCACTTTTTCCATAGCAGGAACGCGTTCCCGTTACCTGTCCTGCAGGACCGGCCCTGCTACCTGCACAGAGGGGCCAGCACACGCTGTGTTCCCCCTCCAGCTCTATTCGAGCAGCCTTGCAACTCCCTCTCCAGCATACCACCGGACCACCAAGCGATCTCCCCCCTCCCTGACAAGGTAAGAAGCAGGGAGGGGGGAATAAAATAAAAAAAATATAGACACATAAAGTTAAAAAAAATGCTCCCTCCCCCACATCATCCAGCACTCACACACCCATCATCCAGCACTCACACACCCATCATCCAGCACTCACACACACATCATCCAGCACTCACACACCCATCATCCAGCACTCACACACCCATCATCCAGCACACTCACACACCCATCATCCAGCATCATCCAGCACACACACACATCATCCAGCACTCACACACATCATCCAGCACTCACACACACACATCATCCAGCACTCACACACATCATCACACACACACACATCATCCACACACACATCATCCAGCACGCACACACACACATCATCCAGCACTCACACACATACATCATCCAGCACACACACACATCATCCAGCACACACACACACATCATCCAGCACACACACACACACATCATCCAGCACACACACACACACACATCATCCAGCACACGCACACACATCATCCAGCACTCGCACACACATCATCCAGCACGCACACGCACACACTGCATTCATTATACACACTCTTCACTCACTACAAACACACTACATTCACTATACACCCTCTGCATTCACTATACACACTCTGCATTTATTATGCACATTCTGCACTCACTACACACTACATTCACTATACACACTCTGCATTCACTACAAACACACTACATACACTGCATTCATTGTACACACTCTGCACTCACTAAAAACACACTGCATTCATTATACAAACTCTGCATTCACTACAAACACACTACATTCATTATACACACCCTGCACTGCACTATATGCATAGGAGTGTAATTTTTTTTTTTTTTAAAGGGTGGGGGGGGGGCGGCGGGAATCTTGGGTGAGTTCCCACACTTTTTTCCCCAGGACTTGACCCCTGACTAGAGCTTATTCTGGTCAGAATGTGGCCATCCCGATCAAATCTGCATCAATCACTGGGTGCATTCAGTGTCCGGAATAAAATGAGTGCTTTCTGCATCTGAACCCTACAGAAAGTACAGGATCAGGGCCGCCATCAGGGGGTGACAACAATAATGGTTGTCACGGGCCCGGCGGCCCCACGTGGAGCGGTGAAACAGCTGCAGGTGCATCTGCACCGGGACCCATCAGGTGGCCCAAGCATTTAGGGCCACCCGATGGGCCCTATAATCTTCAGGGGACCGGTCAGCGCTGCGGCCGGGTAATTGCGCGACCGGGCCCCTTTAAAAAAAAAAATTGCGGCTGCACCGCAAATGCTGCTGGGAGGAAGTGACGGCCGGTCAGCGCGGGGGAGAGCAGTGGGAGAGCGGAGGCCAGGAGAGGACACCAGAGGCATCCACTCCCATCATCCCCAGCCACCCTCCTGCAACTTAAAGGTAAGAGGAGGGTGGCTG